TTCACAGTTTTAAGCCGTTATTGTGATATATATATTTTTGGTAATTCCATTATCAGTTGGCAAGAGCTGAAATTGCCTAACATTGATTGACCTAGCCCTTTTAAACAAAGAGTGTCAAAGGAAAAGAAGACCTCACGTTTTTGCATACTAGAGTTATTTTATCATTTCCAAAGGAAATAGAGCAGTAACTAGCATTCCAAAATTACCAATGCCGACATGGATTTCTCGGTACGACCTTTCTAGCTACTTCAACTTTCCTTAAATTAAATTTCCTTCAGTACTAGAAAAGAACTAAGATGATTGAAGTACTCTCTTTCGTTCATACCCTAAGCCTGATTTAGCCTTGTCAGTCATCAGTTATCGATATAACCATGCATGATACGTTTGTTACCGTCGGTCAGACAACACGTGTCAATCAGCGTTAGATTATCTCTCAGAAACCGATTTGTCCCTTTGTACACGTCCGCCTTTTGCAAGGCTCTTGGAACAACAAGGTCAAACATTGAAAAAAGCGAAGTTAGTTCTCATCGAAACTGACGAAAGGGTTTGACTGGAATGCATTTGAGGCTCAGCATTTCTTCACAATGTGCAAATTACTTCGTAAAGAGACTTAGTTTTCAGACTGTTTAATGTTACTCTTGATTCTAAATCGATAATAGATTCAGTATGCCAAACAGTTTACAAATTCAGTGCAAGGCAGAGTCTGGGCAAGGGACAAGAACAACTGATTTAGATCATTCTGATGTGGAAAGGTCATTACCTAAAGACCCCGAAGAAGACATGTTTTACACTGCTGTCGGAAGCTTTTTGCCGAAAGAATGACAGCAACTTCACTTTGGATCTTAATTCACTTCATATCGACCGCAGACTTATGCATGGTAAAATAAAACTGAAACAAATTCTTTACCGCAGAGCAACGCAAGGCAACAAAATCGCTATTAATACCAACAAAAGTGTTTATATAGAGCGAATTAATGAAGCAAAGTGACAGAATCAGTGGTGTGATTAAAAACACTGTGTAGTTTAAATTTTGACTCAAACCATAAAGCTAAACAAACACGGCAGGGCGGGTGACTCCAATGTCAGAAACAGAGAGCAATTCTGTAGATCAAAAAGCCAAAAATAGCGCTTTTGAAATGAGCGGAATTTGCAACACCCTGTAAAGGACTGTAAATGGGGCCAATCGAATTAAAAAAAAAAATAGGTCTTTTGACGATATGTGATGAAATTTCATTGCATCTGTATGATGCAATCAGAGTAAAAATGTTGAAAGTTCCTTAATGTTCCTAACAAATGCGTTTCAAAAACTGCTTTGTCATAGAGAATGGACCCCTTGTACACTTGCATTGCTCTATTATAAGCTTGTCCTACTGAAACATGAGTCAACGAATGACATTTCGAAAATTTGGGAAGGATTATGGCGTTACATCTTTCCCTCTTAATTCTACTTGCTTCTGAATGGTGTGAAAGGAGAAACATGGAGACAAAATGTAGCTGAAATGAGACTAATTCAACTACTAATAAAAATTGAGTGGAGCAAAGCATGCATAGTAATTTTAGCACGTAAGGTAAGATTAAAAACTGTTTTGTAAACATTTTTATGGTGGATTAAAGACTTAGAAGTTAAGTATAGAACTAACTTACTTCGAAATGCTCACACTGCTTGATAATGATGAGAGAGAACTTCTTTCCCACGTCAAAGGTACAGGTGAATTAACCCGGCGTTGTGTCGTCAACAACGCAGATTATAAAACCTTTCCGACAGAGTTAAGATACACCGGCAGATTTAGGGCAAGGACAGACACAGAAGAATCTAGAGTGAATAACGGAACGGCGGACCCGAGGAAATGTGACTTAAGTTAATCCTACTCATCTAAAACAACAATTTCCGGATAACACGAATCAGGTGTCAAAACATTCTCGCTTTCAAAAACGTAGAAGGCATTGAGGCCGATATTTTTTTCTCAGTCCAAACGTTATTTTGACCGGCAACGGAATATCTAATCTTCTTCAAATATAAGTTACTTATAGTTCATATTAGCTCCAGTTAAAACACCGATCCCTGAAGCCTGGGTATTGCCTCTGCTAAAGCCACTAAGTTTGGTGTAATGTCCAAACGTTTTTCCACTGACTGCAGTTGTTATCCATCATAGACATGCACCGGCACAGGCACACGTGCACACACAGTTTTGTCAAAAAATACGGTGCTATGCACGGTAGCTGATGAACTATTCGCTACCACATACTGAGTGCTCGAGCTCATAAGTGGAAGGAATTTAGAGACTGGATTTTTTCGCTGTAAGATACTTGCACTGCAGAATGCACTTTATTGAAAACGGTTGGAAAACTCAAAACTAAAGCTCTAAAAAATAACATGATGTGTCTAAGTCGCTCAGCCCATCGTATGATTCGCAGTTTAATTCATAGACCAAGTGGTTGCTCCAAAACATCACAGTCGTTACTCGACGAGAATTAAGACCTTAAACCTTTAAGTCCATTCAATCTTTGTAAGAATGCAACAGGCTTGTGTAAAATGCCAATTCCGCCCATTTTTTTTTTTCATTTGTTGGCACAGGGTCTTAAATCTGCACGCCTTAAAGATTTGATTTTCGAATTAATAACTCATTAATATTTTGAAAATAAACAATGTATACCGACTTGTATAAATTATATTGGAACAAGAGCACATACTCCGTAAATATTTTAAGCGTGTCATTCTTCAAACTAACCGAAAATCTCACACTGAAATTTAATAATATTCTGTCTAATTCACACCGTTCGTTCGACAGCGCTGAAGTAAGGCAATACTAAATATCATGGCAGTGTAACGGGGACCAAGCATTAACGTCGAACTGACCGTCTCTCAGTACTTTCATATCGCAAGTTGTTACATCACTGTTGCGTTTCAGTCGCCGGTAGTGACTTTTAATGATGCGACAATTTACTATATGAACACTTTCTTTATAAACAACTCAGTATACAGAACTTCAACTCAACCCAAGACCAGAACTGATATTCGGAAACGATCCAGTTCTTATAAAATCAGGGTCTTGGAGTTGAGACGCGGTTTCAAGAGGCCAAAACTGGCCGCAAAGCAAATTTTAATCGACTTCACTGGAACATCTTCAGCTTCATTCCTGACACAAGAAACCCTCCATTCGGGGACTTACCTTTCAAAATTTACTTTCAGAAACTTACATTGGTCCTTGTACGTTTTTTCCAATGATTATTCCAGAGAAAACTCTTATATTCCAGGTACAACCACCATTCAAACGGGAAAATATCTCGGAATACTCGGTCGTGACTCAGGCCAAGACCGATTTGGCACGCTATCTCATTTTCATTAAGTTAGAGATAAGACGGAACCAAATCACGTGACACAAGTCTGTCGTCATTCGTCTCGATAGGTTTCCATTAATAACCGCAAGTGTATCGAAATCGCACGAATCAAGTGATGACCTGGTGGCAGCAAAAAGGATTTACTTCTTCATTCAGATGCCAAAGATAAAAAAAAAAAAATTAAAAAGCAAACGAAATAACAACTTTTAGACGAAATTCGTGATTTAGCAAAGATGCCAGCGTATAAAGATCACACACAAGACAGATCTTTATCTTAATGGCTTGTTCCTGTTCGCATTGAATACTTCCAACTTGCATTTTTGACTGTGGTGTTTTCTTTCTATGTTGAAACAACACTCCAGAGGTCAGCATATGGTAATCTCTGATTTAGAGCTCCTGACAAAATAAAGCATTAGATAAGGGTACCCTGTCAAAGAGCCGTGGTGTAGTTACTCGAACTTAGAGGATTGCCTCGATGGATAATAATCCGCGTTCGTTGGAAAGCAGGAGAGGAATGTTGATCAGATGAGATAAAGCTTTCATGTGGAATCGTCACGGAAAACTCCTCCCCGAGGAGATGATAATCCTACGATAAAAAGACCCATTGATTCAAATTATGCCTGGAAGAGTCGTTTTATGGGCGTATTATTTGTGTCTATGATTCACACTGACGTGGAAGAAAACCTCATGAAAAACAAAAACATTACACTAAAGCATGCAGTTTTAGTACTGTTTGAAGAGCAACTGAGATCAGGAGGGGTAACTTAAGCTGTAATTAATTTGGTTGTTTTGGAAACGCAGGAAACGATTCATAAGTATCAGGAAACTATTAATTTTGTGATGTGGACCTTATGTAGTTATATGCCTCACTTTGGTATACCGACGTTCTACAGAGTGGATCCATGTCGCCCCGTGGACAACGAACACAAGCGAAGATAACGTAAGAAACGGCGTTTTCAATATTGCATTGTAAATTCACACATCGACGTATTTTCCTCCTCTCATTCAGTTGTATTCTCTTACATTTTTGAAATCACGATTGTTAAATAGAAACACATGACCGATGCTCTAAGAAGAAAACCAGACTTCAGTCAGTTACGAAACGCTCCAGAACCACTTCTGTTACTTTCACTAGGAAACAAATCACATATTATGAACTATAGTTTCAGGAACAAGAGGTTTAGTGGGAAGATTAAAAGTCTTTTTAAATGCTGAACACAGATAAACGCATAAAAAAGATATCCTAAATTACGAACACTCAATAACCGCACAGTCTGCACTTTAGTCAGCAACTACAAAGAAGCCTTTAAACCAAAAAGTTTCATCTCCCCAGCCACTCTGCGAGCACCATAATTGTTGTTGGTATTTCTCTCCATCAAAGCAACACATCTAAGTCTTTCAACTCGTTACCTTGGCCCCCATGATATTAATTAACGGTTGCCATTGAAATAATTAATTCATGCATTTCTTTTGCTATGGTCCCTCCGTCAACGAAACCCTATGCTCCCACTCCCCCAATCCCCACCTCCCGACTTTGCTCTGTCGAAAGGCTAATACTCGAAACGTCAGCCTCACGAACTCGCTATGGCGGTAAATTTCAAGAAGTGTTTTTATACGCAGCCCAACAGTTTCTATGGAAACTAACGCCTTTGTTCAGTCAAAGGGAAGCTTTACTCGGGTACCATCATTGCTTCATGGAACTATAATGTCATTAAATATGATTAAGTTGAAAGGTTATGTACCTCGTGAACATGAACTGTCGTGTCTATGAACTGTTGAATGCTTATACAATCGTAACATTTGCTCGACCAATTAAATCAGAACATGACAAGGTTACTGTGTTGAATTAGTGAGGGCCGGGTGAGATCAATAAATGAGGGTAACATTTCACTGTAGTTGCCAAGCTGTGGCGTTTTCCATTTACCTAAACAATTAGTGCATATTTGAAATATGATGAGTAAAAAGATGGGAATCAAAATTCACAAAATTCAAAAGTAGACCTGCCTAGCTGCAAATTGCAATCTATCAAGAGCAGAGATTAGTGAAAGTGATATTGCTGATAACAATGCACAAGTTATTTGAAAATCGAATTGTGGGTTCTGAATGTTTACATTGCAATCTAGTCGTTTTCATATAATATGTCGAATTATTCTCGCACTTTGATGGTTCTTACTTATGATAATCAATTGGAGGACAGACGCATATATGACATTACAATGTTATTTCTTTCTTATATGAAACAAATAGATTCCACGTTGCCTTGCGTCTGTTCAGTAATAGATCACAGAAACGTCAAAAAGTGCAAGGAACATCGGTGAGTCCTCTTGTGTTCCTTGTTTTTGTTCCTAAACTCACTTCTTACCACACTTTGACGTAATCTGTGATGAATGACTAAACATACAAAGGGCAAAATGGAATCTACTTGTTAAACTCTTTCAAATAAAATCAAGTGTGTAGTTGTCAAAATCAATATCTCCATTCAAATCAGCGAAAGGTACTATGGAGTTCTTCAACATGGGGCTCAGTTTGCTTCCCTTTCAAATTTGTTTTCAAGAAAAAGAAAATCACTTTATATTCTATTTTCAATTTTGACTTTCGTTCTTCAGTGCAATTGCAGGTGTGTGTTGTTTACCCGTCTCTGCAACTTAATGACAAACATTCTGCTATTGTTGTCTATTTCGTCTTTAAATATGTAAAGCGGTCTCTTAAGTGTCCAGCATGAAGAAGGTCCAGTGTCGAGTTTTTGCCACAGTTCATATTTACAGTGCCAAGAATGCACAGTGTCTCAAATATGTTCGATACGGTACGTGGCGTGTGTCCAGTTCTTACAAAGCAAAGCTCTCTTGTGCTGCTAAGAAACCTGATAATCGGGCTTAGTTTAACGAATCAACTGACATAAGACAGTGAAAAAGAATCCAGCCTCGGGTTAGTCGCAGCCAAGATGCGAGACAACTCATGTCTTGGTACCGTAAAAGCACGATGAGCATAATTATTCAGGGCAGAATTCTTGTCCCGCCTCTTTTCTCATTACTGTCTCAAACTGTCTTGTCAAAGCAGAGTTGTTACGGTCGGAATTTGTGTAAATTCCTGGTTAATAACAGGCTAATGACACGGTTGTACGATAAGCTGCAGTAGAGATGAAGATTGATTTTTGGTGGAATAAAGCAATTAGTTTTATTCGCAAACGTGCTTAACTCTCTGTTAATTAACTACCTTTTAATTTTGGTTCAATCTCTTTAGAACAGGAACATGTTAAGGTAGACAATGGAATCCACTTTTCATATTTCGCTGAAAGACGAATGCAAAAATAGCTCATAGTTGTCCCCATCTAAGGTCTTTTCTGAGGTCGCGTTTAAGGTCACATGATGATGATGGCCGAAACAATGTGTCACAAATAACATACTGTCACATCATCATTAATTTTTTTAAACTCATGCCCAAGGGCACATGGAATCGTGCCACTACATTACTATCAAGTAGCGCTTAATGTAGTGCTTCACTTCCTGTGGTTAATACACGTTCTTTCTGATCTGCAGCCCAACGTTAAGCCGCCATGAGAGATTTTTTTTCATGAAAACGCAGACATTCTCGAAACTTCAAGATAATCAGACATGGTATGGTTACTCCTACATGATTTGGAATAGCTGACATTTCCTGGATTCCTTGCAGCTCTGGTTAGTCTGTTTAGCTATGTCTAGTCTCAAATCTCATTGTAGGTTTACTACAGTTCCAAAATTGATAAACAAGGCACTTCAATCCCACATCCTATTCAAGGCTGTAATCACAACGTTTTGTTTACTCAGTTCATTAAGCAGGTAGACATCGAGTTTGTACGAATTTCGTTTGGGTTTAAAACTTATCTTTAATTTACAATTATGTAAAATATATACATAACATTTTAAGCGCGCGGCGCGGTAGGTCTCATTTGTACATATATCACGCTACCACGCGAAAGTCGTTCCCTTCCCTCCTTTATGTTCCTC